TGGCCTGTGCCCCATGCAGATGTGTCCCTGCCTTGCCCTGCCTGCACCGTGTCCGTGGGGCTCTTCCCGCTGCTGGGTTTTAAATAAAGACTCATTCAGGGGGCAGATCCCGGCCTCCCTGAGCTGGGCACGGGCACACTGCACACCCAAGCCTGGAATTTCTTCAGCTCTGTCCACATCTCCAATGCTGTTGGAGAGATGAGGGTTTGAATCCTTTCTTCCCGAGGCAGGGTTGTAAGGTAACTCTAAGAAGGGGTTCAGTCTTCAATCTTTGCCTTACAAGAGCAAATGAGAGGGGCAAAAATAGGAAAATGAGAGGGAAATGAGCTGCTGGAATCTCTTCAGCTCTTTCCACATCTCCAGTGCTGTTGGAGAGAGGGGCAAAATAGGAAAATAAGAGGGAAATGAGCTGTTCTCAGCTGTGGGAAGGCTGTTTCTGTCTCACATCTCATCTCCCCAGGTCCCTGCGATCCTGCGAGGAGGCGAGCCCTGCCTCGCAAAGTGACGGAGCTGAGGTTCCCCTCGGGGGAAACTGAGGCACGAGCGGAGTCTGGCACCCAAACGGGGGCCAGCAGAGGTGCGAGGGCGGGGTGAGCTCCTTGTGCTCGGTCGGGGTGCGACCACCGGGTGCCCCCCGGTCCCGGGCCGGCCGCGGGCGGTGCGGGCAGAGCCGGCGCTGCTCTCCCCGAGCCCGGCGGGATTATCTGTGCTCAGCTGCACCATCTGTTCCTCAAACTGCCATCATTATGTTCAACTTGGGGAAGAAAACGGCCCCTACAGAGAAGCAATTTGTTCGCTGACTAAACCTTTCAGGCTCCCTGCGCACGGAGAGCTCCGCGCTCGCTTAAACAAGCGCGGGGAGAGCGGCGGCCGCGGGCCGGGAGCGGCGTGGGGAGGGCGCAGGGCTGCCCTTAATCCGATTACAAAACATAACAGCCTTTGAGAAGGGCCGGGGGAGGAGGAGGAGGAGGAGGAGGAGGAGGAGGAGGAGGAGGAGGAGGAGGAGGAGGAGGAGGGAGGTTCATTTCACACCCGACCCCGACGTCTGAGGGTCTCGCAATGATCTCACTGCAGCGGATTTTCTCCCCGGCGCAGTTGGGTTGCTTTTAAAGATGCGCTGCGAGGAGATCAAAAAAAACCAGAAGGGGGATGGCTGGGAAAGGGGAGGAGAGGGCTGGGAATGGGGTGAGGTGGGTGTGGGGTCTGCAGGGGGATGTGGGGTCAGGGTTCTGCAGGGTAAGGGTTCTGCAGGGTAAGGGTTCTGCAGAGGGATTTGGGTTCAGGGCTCTGCAGGGGGATTTGAGGTCGGCCGGGGGATTTGGGGCCAGGGTTCTGCAGGGGGATTTGGGGTCTGGAGGGGGATGTGGAATTGGGGGTCTGCAGGGGGATGTGGGGTCAGGGCTCTGCAGGGGGATGTGGGGTCTGGAGGGGGATTTGGGGTCAGGGTTCTGTAGAGGGATGTGGGGTCTGGGTTCTGCAGGGGGATTTGGGGCTGGGGTTCTGCAGGGGAATGTGGGGTCTGGAGGGGGATGTGGGGTCTGGAGGGGGATGTGGGGTCAGGGCTCTGCAGGGGGATTTGGGGTCGGCCAGGGGATTTGGGGTCTGCAGGGGGATTTGGGGTCTGGGTTCTGCAGGGGGATTTGGGGTCAGGGTTCTGCAGGGTCAGGGCTCTGCAGGGGGATGTGGGGTCTGGAGGGGGATTTGGGGTCAGGGTTCTGTAGAGGGATGTGGGGTCAGGGGTCTGCAGGGGGATTTGGGGCTGGGGTTCTGCAGGGGAATGTGGGGTCTGGAGGGGGATGTGGAATTGGGGGTCTGGAGGGGGATGTGGGGCTGGGGTTCTGCAGGGGGATTTGGGGTCTGGGTTCTGCAGGGGGATTTAGGGTCTGGAGGGGGATTTGGGGTCTGGGTTCTGCAGGGTCAGGTTCTGCAGGGGGATGTGGAGTTAGGGTTCTGTAGAGGGATGTGGGGTCAGGGTTCTGCAGGGGGATTTGGGTTCTGCAGGGGGATGTGGGCTCTGCAGGCAGATTTGGGCTCTGGAGGGGGATGTGGGCTCTGCAGGGGGATGTGGGGTCAGGGTTCTGCAGGGGGATGTGGGGCTGGGGTTCTGCAGGGGGATTTAGGGTCTGTAGGGGGATTTGGGTTCATTGTTCTGCAGGGTCAAGTTCTGCAGGGGGATGTGGAGTTGGGGTTCTGTAGAGGGATGTGGGGTCAGGGTTCTGCAGGGGGATTTGGGGTCTGCAGGGGGATTTGGGTTCAGGGTTCTGCAGGGGGATGTGGGCTCTGCAGGCGGATTTGGGGTCTGGAGGGGGACGTGGGCTCTGCAGGGGGATTTGGGGTCAGGGCTTTGCAGGGTCAGGGTTCTGCAGGGGGATTTGGGCTCTGCAGGGTCAGGGTTCTGCAGGCGGATTTGGGGTCTGCAGGGGGATTTGGGCTCTGCAGGGGGATTTGGGGCCATGGTTCTCCAGCTCAGGCCAGGGGTGATGACACCAGCCCTGCTGCACCCGTGTCTCCCTCCTCGTGTCACACGGCTGTGGGGACAGGGACGTGTCCTCCCCTGCCCCCTGAGGCAGGAGTGGGGCTGCAGTCCCTGCAGGGCCCTTCCTCAGGGCGTGCAGCAGCAGCAGGAACTCGTGACCCAATTCCCTGCCTTTTGTCATGGAATTTCAGTGACACCAAGACCTTTAATGTGCTGATTTCACCATTTTCTGTGGGGGACAACGAAAGTGGGGAAAGTTTAAAGTGATAGTTTGACTTATATCAAAGCAAGATGTTTTGACTTCTTGCTGTGTTTTACAGTGACGTTTTATGGCCACCTGCAAACAAAAGCTTTTCATTAATAATTTCATTAATGCATTGAATTCATGAAATTTTGTCCTTTTTTTGAAATTTTGTCTTCCTTTTGTCCAGTCAGTTAAAGGAAACCCATGTGCTTCAACAGCAGCAGATAACAGAACAAGAGGGTCCCACCTGTGGCTACCAAGCATTTCCCCCAAACATTTCTGTGCTGGCCCTGCACCCCCTGTCCCCTTTGGGGCTGTGTCCCCTCCTCAGGGATGGTGGCACTGGCAGCTGGGCACACCTGTGCCCAGAGGAATCCCACATGGTGGGTGCCAGTCTGGCACAGGAGGTGTGAAAGTGTCTGGCAGCCACTCCAGGCTCGTGGGAGATGGGACCCCAAGGTGTCCCCCCCATTGGGGACCCCCAGCACATCCAGCATGGCCCCTCTAGGAGTCCTCTGGGGCTGTGGCCCTGCTCCAGTCACTGCAGGGCTCTCTGTGGGTTCCAGGGTGTTCCAATCTGCTCCCAGGGGGGTGGGAGCCCCTTTGTGGGGGATTTGGGGTTGGGGTTCTGCATGGGGATGTGGAGTCAGGGTCTGCAGGGTCAGGGTCTGCATGGGGATGTGGGGTTGGGGTCTGCAGGGGCAGGGTCTGCATGGGGATGTGGGGTTGGGGTTCTGCAGGGGATGTGGGGTTGGGGTCTGCAGGGCAGGGTCTGCATGGGGATGTGGGGTCAGGGTCTGCATGGGGATGTGGGATTGGGGTTCTGCAGGGTCAGGGTCTGCAGGGGATGTGGGATTTGGGTTCTGCAGGGGGATGTGGGATTTGGGTTCTGCAGTGGGATGTGGGATTGGGGTCCTGCAGGGGGATGTGGGATTTGGGTTCTGCAGGGGATGTGGGGTTGGGGTCTGCAGGGCAGGGTCTGCATGGGGATGTGGGATTGGGGTCCTGCAGGGGGATGTGGGATTGGGGTTCTGCAGGGTCAGGGTCTGCAGGGGGATGTGGGGTTGGGGTTCTGCAGGGGGATGTGGGATTGGGGTCCTGCATGGGGATGTGGGGTTAGGGTCTGCAGGGGCAGGGTCTGCATGGGGATGTGGGGTTGGGGTTCTGCAGGGGGATTTGGGGCTGGGGTCCTGCAGGGGGATGTGGGGTTGGGGTCCTGCAGGAGATGTGGGATTTGGGTTCTGCAAGGGATGTGGGGTTGAGGTTCTGCAGGGCAGGGTCTGCATGGGGATGTGGGATTTGGGTTCTGCAGGGCAGGGTCTGCATAGGGATGTGGGATTTGGGTTCTGCATGGGGATGTGGGATTGGGGCCCTGCAGGGTCAGGGTCTGCAGGGGGATGTGGGGTCAGGGTCTGCAGGGGATGTAGGGTTGGGGTCTGCAGGGGGATGTGGGATTTGGGTTCTGCATGGGGATGTGGGATTGGGGTCCTGCAGGGGATGTGGGATTGGGGTTCTGCAGGGGATGTGGGGTTTGGGTTCTGCAGGGGGATGTGGGATTTGGGTTCTGGGCATCCTGGGGCTGCAGTGGCCAGAGGAGCATCTCTGTCACAGCAGGGCTGAGTGCTGGGGGTGTTTCTGTGCTGAAAGGAGCCCCTGGTGCAAGGTGAGGAGTGCTCAGGGGGACACAGGGTCACCCCCGTGCTGGTGTCACCCTGCTCCTGCCCCTGGGTGCTGTCCCACCCTCCAGAGACTGCACCATGGGTGGCACAACCCCTGAAACCAAATGGGCATCAGTGTTTGGGGTGTAGGGCAAACTGAGGGGCTTTGACACCTGAAGGAAACAGCCAGCAGAGCTGGGCAGGTGCTGTGAGAATTCAGGGGCAAATCCTGAAGTTACAAAAAAAAAATCTATATATTTTAATTGCTATGTGCACAAATATCTGTACAAAGTCTTTGCTGCTTTCTGTTCAGCCTCCTGGGCCCGTTCCCCAGCACAGCCATCCCTCCTCTCCCCATTGCCTTCCCCCAGAGAGCAGCTGATGGGGAAACTGAGGCAAGGAGCAGCGAGGGGGAGTGGCTGAGCCAAGCCTGGACACCCTGAGGTGACCCTGGCAGCTCCCACAGCAAGCACAGGGATCCTGCAGCTCCTCTTCACCCTGCAGAGGCCTGTGGACACCCAGCTGCTCCCAAAACGTTTGGCTGGCTCCTGATGGAAGCTTCAGGCTGCCAGAACCAAGGGGCACTGGCCATGGCACACCCCTGGTGGTGCAGGAGCTCAGAGGGGGTTTGGGGTCATCACACCAAGGTGCTGCTGCCCAGCTCCTCCTTTCCACTTGCACTGGGGTCAGATCCTTCCTCAGGCACCTGCACAGAGACAAGAGAGGGGCAGAAATGGGCCCTGCACAGAGGGGCAGAAATGGGCCCTGCTCAGAGACAAGAGAGGGGCAGAAATGGGCCCTGCACCAAAGACAAGAGAGGGGCAGAAATGGGCCCAGCACAGAGACAAGAGAGGAGCAGAAATGGGCCCTGCAAAGAGACAAGAGAGGAGCAGAAATGGGCTCTGCACAGAGGGGCAGAAATGGGCCCAGCACAGAGACAAGAGAGGAGCAGAAATGGGCCCTGCACAGAGAAAAGAGAGGGGCAGAAATGGGCCCTGCTCAGAGGGGCAGAAATGGGCCCAGCACAGAGACAAGAGAGGGACAGAAATGGGCCCGGCACCAGAGACAAGAGAGGGGCAGAAATGGGCCCTGCACAGAGACAAGAGAGGGGCAGAAATGGGCCCTGCTCAGAGGGGCAGAAATGGGCCCTGCACAAAGACAAGAGAGGGGCAGAAATGGGCCTGGCACCAGAGACAAGAGAGGGGCAGAAATGGGCCCTGCACAGAGACAAGAGAGGGGCAGAAATGGGCCCTGCACAGAGACAAGAGAGGGGCAGAAATGGGCCCTGCACCAGAGACAAGAGAGGGACAGAAATGGGCCCTGCACAGAGACAAGAGAGGGGCAGAAATGGGCCCTGCTCAGAGGGGCAGAAATGGGCCCTGCACCAGAGACAAGAGAGGGGCAGAAATGGGCCCTGCACAGAGGGGCAGAAATGGGCCCTGTACAGAGACAAGAGAGGGGCAGAAATGGGCCCTGCACAAAGACAAGAGAGGGGCAGAAATGGGCCCAGCACAGAGACAAGAGAGGGGCAGAAATGGGCCCTGCACAAAGACAAGACAGGGGCAGAAATGGGCCTGGCACCAGAGACAAGAGAGGGGCAGAAATGGGCCCTGCTCAGGGCAGATTGGGGCTGCGTGGGGGCTCAGCTTCCACCAGGAAGGTTTAGATGGAATATGGGGGAAATTCTTTCACTGGAATTGTCCAGTGCTGGCACAGGCTGCCCAGGGGAGTGGTAAAGTCTCCATCCCTGGAAGGGTTTAACAGATTTTTGGGGATATGGTTTAGTGGTGGCCTTGGCAGCAGTGGAACGGTTGGACCTGGTGCTTTTAGAGGGCACCTAAAACGAGTCAGGGATTCTCTGACCAGGGGCATTTACTGCAGCTCTCCTAAATGCTGCTGGAAGAGGAGGGAGCTGGGGGGAAATATCCAACCCCTGCCGCTGCTTGAGACCCAAAACCCCTTTTAACCAACAATTCCGCAGCTTTACCTCCCGCAAGCCGGGGTTCTCCTTGTACAGCGCGGCCGGGCAGCACCTCAGCACGTTGATTTTCAGGAGGGCTCCTGAGGACACCCAAAGCCGGGCGAGGGCGTCTGAGAGCGGGGCGGCCGCTGCCCGGGCTTCCCCTGACATCTAGCGGCGGCAGCGGCGGCACCGGCACCGGGGCAGCGGGGGAACCGCGGGAACCGGGACTTGGGGGAACCGGGAACCAGAACCGGGGGGAGACGGGACTGGGGGGAACCGCGGGAACCGGGACTGGGGGGAACCGGGAACCAGCACCGGGGGGAACCGGGAGTGGGGGGAACCGGGAACCAGCACCGGGGGGAGACGGGAGTGGGGGGAACCGCGGGAACCGGGACTGGGGGGAACCGGGAACCAGCACCGGGGGGAACCGGGACTGGGGGGAACCGGGAACCAGCACGGGGGGAACGGGACTGGGGGGAACTGGGGGAACCGGGACTTGGGGGAGCCGGGAACCAGAACCGGGGGAGACGGGAGCGGGGGGAACCGGGACTTGGGGGAGACGGGAGTGGGAGGAACCGGGGGGAACCGGGACAGGGGGCGGGGGGAGGCGGGGGGAGCCGGGGGGAACCGGGACTGGGGGGAGTCAGGAGAAGGGGGAGCCGGGGGGAACCGGGACTGGGGAGAACGGGGAACCGGGGGAGCAGGGGGGAACCGGGGGGGGGGGGAACCGGGACCGACCGGGGGGAGCCGGGGGTAACTGGGAGCCGGGACCCGGTGGGAGCTGGGACTGGGGGAACCGGGATCGGGGAAAGTCGGGGAAACCGGGGGGAACCGGGACCGGGGGGAGCGGGAGGGAGCCAGGACCAGGGGAACCGGGGGCAACCGGGACCGAGGGGAACCGGGGGGAACCGGGAGCCTGGACTAGGGGGAACCGGGGGGAAACGGGATCAGGAGGAGCCGGGGAGGACCGGGAGGAGCCGGGATCGGGGGGAACCGTGGGGGGAGCTCAAACCCCGGGGGGAGCCGGGACCAGAGGGGAGCCGGGGGGAACCAGGAGCCGGGACTGGGGGAGAGTCGAGGGGAACCGGGACCGGGGGGTGCCGGGGGGAACCGGGAGCCGGGACCGGGGGGCGCACGGATCTGGGGAAAGCCTCAAGCCCGAGGGGAGCCCCGGACACAGAGAGGAGCACGGAACAGGGGGTCATGGAATGGGGAGGAACACAGAGCAGAGGGAGCACAGACCGGGGGGAGCACGGACTCGGGGGGACCCCCGGCCAGAGGGGAGTAACGCCCCATGGATGGACCCGGCCCCACAAGGGAACCCCAGCCCCAAGGGGAGCCCCGATCTCCGCTGGGTTTGCCCAGTGCTGAGCACCCCTGGGCTCTGCCCGGCCTGCCTGATGGGGATGCTTTGCTTTGGGGCTGCTCCTGCCCTTTTCCCCAAACCCATCCATTCCCTGCCCCTCACGCCCTCCATCCCTCTGTGCTGGAGGCAAAACTCACCCGTGATGCAGCCCCCGAGCGTTGCAAGCAGCAGGGTCAGGGGCAGGGCACCGAGCTGCAGGAGTGCTTGGTCAGTGATTGTCCGGCTGCCCTGGGCCACCAGTGGGAATACCAGCTCCAGTCTGCATGCCAGAGAGGAGACAGGCTTTAGGGAGCTGGTTTGTTTGGGGAGTTTGCTGGTTTGGGGAGCTTTGTTTGGCTCACAGCTCTGGGTAACGGCTCCTAAAGCGCTGCTGTAACAGGGGAGTGGAGCAGCCCTGATCTCAGGGCTTCTGGTGGCCCCAGCTCGGTGCATCAAGGCACTGGCATCCCCAGTTCTGGCTCCTCTCACCTGTAACCAAAAGTGTCTGCGGTGGCCAGCAGCGTCAGCAGCGTCCCCAGCAGGGCCCCCAGCACCCCGGGCAGCCCGTGGGTGTTGTGAACCCCACAGGTGTCCTGGATTTTCAGCTTGGAGTGTAGAACGGGCTGGGGAGAGCACAGGGGAGAGCTGGTGGTGGGCTGGAGCCTCCAGGGGGGCCGTGGTTCAGCCCTGTGTTTGCAGGTTTGGGAGCAGATCCCCAGGCTGGGATCAGCATCCTTGGGACTCACCGTGAAGAATCTGAAGCCAAGGGAGGAGATGAGGCCAACCAGAAACCCTGCGATGAGGGCACCAAAGGGGGTGAGCAGCATCTCCCCAGCCATGCCCATCACGGCCATGGCAGCCAGGGTGGCATCCTGGATCTGAACCTGATGGAGCAGGACATGGTCAGGGGAACTGGCTCCATGGAGAGCACCAGCAGGGGACTGGGAGGGGGGGTTTGCCTTCCTCAAATTGGTGTAGCCAGGATATTTTCTGAAAAACCCTTTCCTTAGGATTTTTCTTTCTGAGAAACTGAGAGGCCTCAGGAACAAAATGCAAGCAATGGTTATCTGCTGCTGTGGGATGCAACAGGTGGATCTGGGATTGGTCTCATGTGATTGTTTCTAATTAATGGCCAATCACAGCCCAGCTGGCTCAGACTCTTTGTCCGAGCCACAAACCTTTGTTATTCATTCCTTCTTTTTCTATTCTTAGCCAGCCTTCTGATGAAATCCTTTCTTCTATTCTTTTGGTATAGTTTTAATATAATATGTGACAATGTTCACAGGGGTCTCAGGTTGAGGGAAGAGATGAGGATCTGACTCCATGTTTCAGAAGGCTTGATTTATTATTTTATGATATATATTATATTCAAACTCTACTAAAAGAATAGAAGAAAGGATTTCACCAGAAGGCTGGCTAAGAATAGAAAAAGAAGGAAAAAATAACAAAGGCTTGTGTCTCAGAGAGTCAGAGCCAGCTGGGCTGTGATTGGCCATTAATTAGAAACAACTAACATGGACTAATCAAAGATCTACTTGTTGCATTCCACAGCAGCAGATAACCATTGTTTGCATTTTGTTCCTGAGGCCTCTCAGCTTCTCAGGAGGAAAAATCCTAAGGAAAGGATTTTCCATAAAAGATGTCTGCGACAATAATATATCTCATTAAATAATAAATCAAGCCTTCTGAAACATGGAGTCAGATCCTCATCTCGTCCCTCATCCTCAGACCCCTGTGAACACCATCACAAATTGGTTCTTCATGAGCCTAACAGGCCTCCCCTTTTGCCCTGGGTGTGTTCAGGCCTATTCCTCCAGGGCAGGATGTGGGTTTGTCCCAGGAGAGGACCTACCAGCTTTGGGGTGCTCTCCTCGTAGAGGAGAGGAGAGAGGATGAAGGTGGACACGGTGCTTGCCACCAGTGAAAAGTAGGAGTTGAGCACTGCCCAGTTCTCTGCATTGTGGTGGACAGTGGTGGTGGAGATGGAGCTGGGCCAGAAGATCCACAGGTAGATGGTTCCTGCAGGGAATAGAACAGGTCTTGGTGCTGGAGCTGATCCCTTGGGGGACAGAAAGTTCCTGTGAGGGCCAAGAGACGCACGTGGCCACAAGGGAGGTGCAGGCAGAACACAAGGAAAAGGTTTTTCTAGAGGAGGGTGGTGCAGGACATCTGGCCTTGATGTTTGCAGCAATCTCCTGGTCAAAGCCACACCCTCAGATTGGTGGCAACCCTTCCACCAGCAGCTGTAGGGGCTGTAGATGTGAGCTCCATACCAACCACAGCAAAGGCACCCGTCTGGTGCCCCTTATCCTGCTGCTCTTCCCTCTTCCTCTTGTCCTTGTGGGGCTGGTACAGGAGCCGTGAAACCATCAGGCCAAAGTAAGCACCAAAGGTGTGCACGGTCAAGGAGCCTCCTGTGTCGCTCACCTGGGGAGTGCAGAAAATGGGGAAAGTGTGTGCAGGAGCTGAGGTGATGTGGAAAGCCAGGGCAGCACTGGGAATGTTCCTGTGCCTGCTCTGGGCTGCCCTGACCCCCAGGGAGCGCTGACTCTGACCCTCATCCATGGAGAAAGTTTCCTGGATTTCAAAATAGACTGGAATCCACAAAAGTGTGAAATAGATTATAGAGAGCAGTGTAGGTGGATCACTGGGTGAGAAATTGAGGGTTTGGGGTTTTTAGTGTGCAAGGTGGAGGGCACAGGGTGTCATCCTGGGTTTCTTCTTCCTCCTCCTCCATGGGTTTGGGTGGCATTTTGTAATTGGGCAGAAAAGTCCTCATTGTGGGGTCTTTGGGATCAGATATTGGGTTAAAAGGGAAAATAATTATAAACCGGATAGTTTATTCTTAAAAGACCTTGTGACAAGAGATTGTTGGCCAATTTGTGCCTTCTAATGAAAAGCTGCCCAGCTCACAGTAGTGAGACTGTTTTACTGATAACAAATAATAAACATCTAAATCCAAATATGAATTGCTGTCTCAAGTGCCTTCAATCCAGATCCAGGAAACAACTGAGACCCCCAAACCAGTGCAAATACTGCAGCAGGGTGAGGGATTTGCCTCTCCAGATGAGGCAGAACGTGCCATGAGGAGCCCAAACCCAGGGCCTCTCGCAGTGGGTGACTCACCCCCATGAGACTGAGCAGGATGAATTCATTGAGGGTGCACAGGGTGACTTCCAGCATTTTGTAATTGGGCAGAAAAGTCCTCATTGTGGGGTCTTTGGGATCAGATATTGGGTTAAAAGGGAAAATAATTATAAACTGGATAGTTTATTCTTAAACGACCTTGTGACAAGAGGTTGTTGGCCAATTTGTGCCTTCTAATGAAAAGCTGCCCAACTCACAGTAGTGAGACTGTTTTACTGATAACAAATAATAAACATCTAAATCCAAATGTGAATTACTGTCTCAAGTGCCTTCAACCCAGATCCAGGAAACCAACAACTGAAAGCCCCAAACCAGTGCAAATACTGCAGCAGGGTGAAGGATTTGCCTCTCCAGATGAGGCAGAACGTGCCATGAGGAGCCCAAACCCAGGGCCGCTCCCTCTCGCAGTGGGTGACTCACCCCCATGAGACTGAGCAGGATGAATTCATTGAGGGTGCACAGGGTGACTTCCAGCATTTTGTAATTGGGCAGAAAAGTCCTCATTGTGGGGTCTTTGGGATCAGTTAGTGGGTTAAAAGGGAAAATAATCCAGGTGTCAGTTCTAAACTGGATAGTTTAGTCTTAAAGGACCTTGGAACAAGAGATTGTTGGCCAATTTGTGCCTTCTAATGAAAAGCTGCCCAACTCACAGTAGTGAGACTGTTTTACTGATAACAAATAATAAACATCTAAATCCAAATATGAATTGCTGTCTCAAGTGCCTTCAACCCAGATCCAGGAAACCAACAACTGAGACCCCCAAACCAGTGCAAATACTGCAACAGGGTGAGGGATTTGCCTCTCCAGATGAGGCAGAACGTGCCATGAGGAGCCCAAACCCAGGGCCACTCCCTTTCTGGTGGCTCCCCAGCCAGAGACTCACCCCCATGAGACTGAGCAGGATGAATTCATTGAGGGTGCACAGGGTGACTTCCAGCAGGGCCAGCAGCAGCATCTGCACAGGGTTCACCCTGCCCAGAAGAGCTCCAGTGGAGATCAGAACAGCTGCGGTGCAGAAATCAGCTCTGACCAGGCTGGGAAGGAGAGGAAGAGTGTGGGATGAGCACAGGGGTGAGCACAGGGGCTGGGGAGAGCTGGGAGGGATCAGGAGCCAAGCAGGCAGAGCCCTGTGGTGCTGGTGACACAGGGATGGCTGGGCTTGAGGCAGGTGAGGGCCAGAGTGTGCCCCTAAATCCCTTGGCAGTGCTCACACAGCCCTTGCCAGGCTGGGATGTTGGGAAGGATGAAAGTGTGACAAGAAAGTCTCAAGAATTTGGCAAGAAGAGCTGAAGGAGTGCTGGGTCTACCTCCTGAGAGCTGCTCCTTGCTTTCTGGAGGGGAATTCATTACAGCTTTGACCTTCTCCATGCCCAGTTTTGGTTTGGGCTCTTTCAGAGGACACCCCTCACCTCTGCTGGGGCAGAAAAGGAGCCTCCTCTGCCCTCTTCAGGTGCTCAAAGTGCCCAGACAGGCAGGAAATGGCCCCATCCCTGTCAGCCCAAAGCCTGGAGCACTGCTGGGCTCTCAGGTCACAGTGGGGACACAGGAGGTGGCTCTTTGCTCACCTGGGGAACTTCAGTTGCCCATTAGAGAATGAGCACAAAACCCTTCAGGAATCACCTTCCCCAAGGCTGGAGCTGCTCAGTTCTTCCCCAAACCCTGACAGAGACAGGGGGGAACCATCATCTCCTGCACCCTGGGGTGAGTTGGGTGTTCCAGGCTGCTCCAGTGGGGTGGGGAAGTGCTCAGAGGGGAAAATGTCTGGGTTTGGACACAAACACCCCAAACCCAGCCGAGCCTCAGCAGCCAGCAATGACCCCAGCACTATTTTGTGTTGGGAAGGATGAGAGTTTGACAGGAAAGTCTCACAGGTCTGTGTGCTTGGCAGAAAGATTTTAAATGTAGAGTCTGATGAAGGAATAGAGATGGAAGCAAGTTTTGATACAGAAGAAAAGAATTGCTGAGCCAGTCTGACTGGATAAGCAAGGAGGCCAAGGGTATTTTATGTGAGTTAGAAGGGTTTTTATGGCTTAGAGCAAAGGATAAACCCACCCCAGACAAGAAGATGTTTTTACCAAGCACAAAGATAGCACAGGCAAACAAGGCAGCCAAGTGCAAGTAGAAAAAAGGTCTCAGAATTTTCTACTGCAAGAAAACTGAAAAACAACTTCTGGCTTAAACTGTAATGTACTGACTTTGAGTGATTGGAGAGCAGTAACATGAATCTGGTAATTATAGCAGTTATGATAGGCTAGAGATAAAAGTTAAGGTAGAGATTGGTTCTAATGTATGAAGATGCTCAGCAAAGAAAAGTTTATAATGCATTGTAACCAAAAGAAATTTTATAATGCATTGTAACCAAAAGGAAAGTTTATAATGCAATGTAACCAAAAGAGAAGTATAGAATGCATTGCAACCAAAAGAAAAGTTTATAATGCATTGTGAGCAAAAGGAAAGTTTATAATGCATTGTAAGCAAAAGGAAAGTTTATAATGCATTGTAACCAAAACCAAAGGGTCTCCAGGCCTGCCTGCAGCTGGAGCTGACAGCTGTGGGCACAGCTCTGTCACCCACGACCCTGGACTGCTGTAACACCTTGGATGGAATAAACTGCATTTTGGATACAATAAACTGCATTTTGGATACAATAAACTGGATTTTGTATACAATAAACTGCATTTTATATACAATAAACTGCATTTTGTATACAATTAACTGCATTTTGGATACAATAAACTGCATTTTGGATACAATAAACTGCATTTTGGAGAGCCACCTGGAGTCCCACATGCCTCATTTAGGCTCTTACAGCGGTATTCAAACCCCGTCCCACTTGCAAAATCCTCCTCCAAAGCAGAGCCCCGAGTTTTACAGAGGAGGGAGCCAGTGTGCCAGGGCCGGGCTGGGCTCAGCAGCTCCCTCCTGCCTTACCTCTGAGCTCCCACGGAAATTTTGCCGTCGAGGGAGAAGTAAAGCATGCCCTGGATGAGAATAGCCCACTGGATGGAGAAGGCTGTGATGAGGATGACGATGGCAGCGCTGCCCGGCCCACAGCGGCTGAGGAAGGCCACGAGCAGCCCAAAGCTGAGGAGCACCTGGACGTGGCCATCCCGAAACCCTGCTGGGGGAGAGGCACAGGGATGGCTCTGGGGGTGCTGAGGGAGGGCAAACACCCTCGGGATGGGCCCTGAGGGGACCCAGCCAGGGCTGAGGCACCCCCGGGCCTGGGGAGCTGAAGCCTCTCTGCACCTGATGTGAGGCTGGAGCCAGGGTGGAGGATTGTGCGCATCTCTGCTGCTCACAGTGACCCCAAGAAAAGTTCCAAAGTCTCTTTTCCCAGCCCAAGCACTTGAAGAAGGAGTCAGGGCTCTTCATTTCTCCCTCTCAAGGTTGTTTATTGTTCCTTATCTATAAAAAAGTTTCTCCTGCCCTGCCGAGGTCCATCCAGCAGGACAGTTCCAGGCACTCTGCCTGCCCCCAGGGCAGTGTTATGTCTTTATACTAAAAACTACATATACAATGTTTACATTTACTTCCCAATACCTATCACCTGTGTTAGACAGTGAGTTTCCACTCTAAACCAATCCCAAAGTGCCACCATCACAGCAGAAGATGGAGGCCAAGAGGAAGAAGAAGGAGAAAGGCTGGACATGCCCAGATCCCTCCATTTTGCCTCCTGAACCCCCATACCAAAAACCCCAAAATCTATTTTTTCACCCCGTGATAAATTCACTATTATTCTACTTAAACTGTTGTGGCTTGCTGATCTTCATCTAAGGTTGGTAACTTGCTCCATGGGTCATAATCAAACCCACACAGGCATTGTGGGCTGTGTGCCAGGCTCCCTGAGCCCCCTGGCTGGGGTCTTGGCCATCCTGGACAGCCAGAGGGGTGTCCTGGGTTCCTACAGATCTTCCTTGGAGATCTGCAGTGGGAGTGCCAGGGACAGCCACAGCCACCCCTGCCTGCTGTGACCCTGCACAGGGACAGCCACCCCTGCCTGCTCTGTACCTGCACAGGGACAGCCACAGCCACCCCTGCCTGCTGTGACCTGCACAGGGACAGGCACAGCCACCCCTGCCCGCTGTGACCTGTACAGGGACAGCCACCCCTGCCTGCTCTGTACCTGTACAGGGACAGCCACCCCTGCCCACTGTGACCTGCACAGCCACAGCCACCCCTGCCTGCTGTGTACCTGCACAGCCACAGCCACCCCTGCCTGCTGTGTACCTGCACAGGGACAGCCACAGCCACCCCTGCCCGCTGTGACCTGTGCAGGGACAGCCACAGCCACCCCTGCCTGCTCTGTACCTGTACAGGGACAGCCACCCCTGCCTGCTGTGACCTGCACAGGGACAGCCACCCCTGCCTGCTGTGTACCTGCACAGGGACAGCCACCCCTGCCTGCTGTGACCTGTACAGGGACAGCCACCCCTGCCTGCTCTGTACCTGTACAGGGACAGCCACCCCTGCCTGCTCTGTACCTGCACAGGGACAGCCACCCCTGCCTGCTGTGACCTGCACAGGGACAGCCACCCCTGCCTGCTGTCACCCTCTGCAGCCTCATCCCATCTGCAGCTGCCCTGTGCAGAAACCTCAGCACATTCACCCCACAGCACAGAAACCTCCTGGGGTGGCCAAGAGATGTCTGCACCCACCAGAGCAGCACCAAAGTGGCTCTGAGATGTCAGCACCCCTGAAGGCATCATGTCCCAGTTCCTGGGATGAGCAGAGAACTGGGGTCAGTCTGGCACCATTTGGTGGCAAAGCAGAGGATGGGGGGCCGGATTCCTGCTCGGGCTGGGTGCCCTTTGCACCTCTCCAGCTGACAGCTGTGGGGCGGGCTGCTCCGTGAGTCACTGCAGGGTGGGGCTCCGTGGGCAGCAGGAACCGGGAGAACCTGCTGCAGCTCCCACCCAGCGGCTCTGCTCCTTCCTCTCTCTCTGCCGGGGTGCTCTGCAGCTCCTGTCCTGCTGCCAACCCTGCCTGTGGCTCAGAAAACCCAGGGACAGCCCCTGAGCACGGCAGGAGCTCTGCAGTGATGCCCAGCATGCAGCAGGATGATGCAGACCCCATTGGTATCACCCAGCGAGCCAAATCCTCCTTGGAAGGGGCTCGGTGAGGACCCCCTGGCACTGCAAATTTGGCTGGGAAGCTCTGAATTGCCAGGAGCAGATGCTGTGCTCCCTACCAGGCATGGAATGATGATCCCCAGTTTTTCACTGCACTCAGAGATCCCTTCTGAGCTCCAATCCTCCTTGGAAGGGGCTCTGAAGTGCCCGGAGCAGCTGCTGTGCTCCCTACCAGGCTTGGGATGATGATCCCAATTCCTTGATTTTTTCATAGAATGAAGAAATGCAGGTTTTCACTGTACTCAGTGATCCCTTCTGAGCTCCACTGCTCTAACACACACCCCAGCCCCAAATTCCCCTCTTTTGCTGCAATTATTTCAGAAATCCCTGCAGTGTGTCTGGGAAGTCCCAGCACCCCAAGCCTGCAGTGCTCTGTGGAAGGGGCTCGGTGAGAACCCCCTGGCACTGCAAACCTGGCTGGGAAGCTCTGAATTGCCAGGAGCAGCTGCTGTGCTCCTTACCAGGCATGGAATGATGATCCCTTGATTTTCTCTGCACTCAGTGATCCCTTCTGAGCTTGAATCCTCCGTGGAAGGGACTCAGTGTGAACCCCCTGGCTCTACAAACCCCAGCTGAGAAGCTCTGAAGTGCCAGGAGCAGCTGCTGTGCTCCCTACCAGGCTTGGGATGATGATCCCAATTTTTCATAGAATGAAGAAATGCAGTTTTTCACTGCCCTCAGTGATCCCTTCTGAGCTCCAATCCTCCATGGAAGGGGCTCAGTGTGAATCCCCTGGCACTGCAAACCTGGCTGGGAAGCTCTGAATTGCCAGGAGCAGCTGCTGTGCTCCCTACCAGGCTTGGGATGATGATCCCAATTCCTTGATTTTTTCATAGAATGAAGAAATGCAGTTTTTCACTGCACTCAGTGATCCCTTCTGTGCTCTTACACACACCCCAGCCCCAAATTCCCCTCTTTTGCTGCAATTATTTCAGAAATCCCTGCAGCGTGTCTGCTCTACCCCTCTGGGAAGCCCCAGCACCCCAACCTGCAGCTCGACGGTGCCTCTCTGGTATCTCCGGAGTCAGTGCCAGGTGTGCAGGTGACACCCAGCGCCATCCCCTCATCAGAAGGGCTCTGCCATGGGGGTACTCACGGGGCTGCAGGAAATTCGGGTCCTGGCTCCTGCGGCTGCAGTTCAGCGGCGGGGGCCACGGCCCGGGGCTGCCCTCGGGGCTGTACCGCACCCACACCGCGAACAGGAGGATGAGGAGGACCTGCAGGAGGAAGCACAGCCCCGGGAAGCACAGCCTGGAGGCGGCTGCGTGCTCAGACATGTCGGGGGGCAGGGGAAGCCCTGCCAAGGGGCTGCATGGGGAGGGAGAGCCACGCCGGGGCTGCAAACTCCTCCTGTCGCGGCGGCTGCCAGGTTCTGCTCACCTCCAAGGGACTGCTGGGAGCGGGGCAGCGCTGCCAACACGGAAATTGGGGACGGGATGCCCCGGCACACCTGCACAGGTGGGGATGCCGCAGCAGGTGGCTCCAGGCACTGCGCTGGGAACCGTGTGGGCTGCGGGGTGGGGTCGGTGTCGCTCTCTCTGGGCAGTCTCGGGGTCTCTTGCTGGTCACAGTGACCCTGATATTCATTAGAAAGTCTCTTTTAACAGCTCAGCAATTGAAGGAGTCAGAGCTCTTCATTTCTTGGACTCAAGGTTGTTTATTGTTTCTTATCTATAAAATTCTTTCTCCTGTCCTGCCGAGGTACGCTCAGCAAGACAGTCCAGGCACTCTGCCCTGCCCCAGGGTGGTGGTGTTATCTTTTTATACTAAAAACTACCTGTACAATATTACCATAACTTCCCAATACCGATCACCTGTGTTAGACACTGAGCTTCTACTCTAAACCAATCCAAAAGTGCCACCATCACAGCAGAAGATGGAGGCCAAGAGGAGGAGGAGGAGGAGGAGAAGGAGAAGGAGAAGGAGAAGGAGAAGGAGAAGGAGAAGGAGAAGGAGAAGGAGAAGGAGGAGAAGGAGAAGGAGAAGGAGAAGGAGGAGGAGGAGGAGGAGGAGAAGGAGGAGGAGGAGAAGGAGGAGGAGGAGAAGGAGGAGAAGGAGGAGAAGGAGAAGGAGGAGAAGGAGAAGGAGGAGAAGGAGAAGGAGAAGAAGAAGAAGAAGAAGAAGAAGAAGAAGAAGAAGAAGAAGAAGAAGAAGAAGAAGAAGAAGGAGAAAGGCTGGGCTTGCCCAGATTCCTCCATCTTGCCCCCTGAACCCCCATTCTAAAAACCCCAAAAAAATCAATTTTTCCACTCTGTGATAAATTCACTATCATTCTACTCAAACTCTTGTGGCTTGTAGCTCCTCACACAAAGCTGGTAATAGTTTCCAGCCCTTGGGGTGGTGTTAGTTTTTTTATACTAAAAACTACATGTACAATATTTACAATAATTTCCCAATACCTATCACCCATGTTACACAGTGAGTTTCAGAAGATGGAGGCCAAGAAGAAGAAGAAGGAGAAAGGCTGGATATGCCCAAATCCCTGCATCTTGCCCCCTGAACCCCCATTCTAAAAACCCCAAAAAATCTATTTTTTCACCCTGTGATAAATTCACTATAATTCTACTTAAACTTTCGTGGCTTGTAATCCTTCATACAAGGTTGGTAATTGTTTTTTCCAGGGGCTAAATCAAAGGCACAGGGGTCTTGGGCTCTGTGCCAGGGTCTCTGAGCCCCCTGGCAGGGTCTCCAGTCCTCCAGGGCAGCCTGAGGAATTTTCTGGGTTCCCACAGGCAGGAGATGTGGGGGGGATTAATGAGGTTTCTGCCTCTGCATTGCAGAAACACGGTGGGTTTGGGGACTGGGTCAGGCAGAGGAGGTGGAGGGTGATGCCCAAGGGTGGAGGTGCTGGCTCAGCAAAGCTTGGCTCAAATTCCCTGATCAGAAGGAAAAATGAGTGTTCAGGGAGCTTTGGGGCTGAGGTTTCCTGTGGGGACCAGAGGAGAGAAGGAAAACCTGGGTTTTTAAGAATAGGACCAAGGAGCAGAGCCAGAGGCTCCTGCTGGAGCCCAGCCAGGAGCTGGGGGAGCTGAGCCCCAGGGGCTCCTTGGCTTTTCTGTGGCTGCCTCTGCTTCTGCAGAGGTGTTGGCAGAGTGGGTGCAGATCCCAAAAAGGGAGAAAAGGAGACAAGGAGCAGAGAGGTTACTCAGTGTGTGTTTGGGAAGTGACTTGGGTGACTCCTTCCCGCAGCGCTGGGCCAAACCCTGAGCTCAGATAAGCAGTGGTGGGCTGGGGTCCTGCCCTGATGCTAACGGGGTGGGGAAGGGGGATGAGTCACTCATGGCAGCCCCTGCAAGTGTTCTGCCTCGGGCTGTGGTTTTCTGAGGGCTGGGGACTGTAACTGCTGCCTTCACTTGGGAAAAAATGTGAGAAACAGCTCGTCTGTGATAGCACAGAGCTGGGAATCAGCATCCTGCAGCCAAGAGCTGCTGCTGGGGGAGAACAGGATGTGCTTCTGCAGCCGTGGGCACAGGAAGTGTGAGGGAGGGAGATGACAGACTCCCTGAAGAGCCCCGGACCCAGCCCATAACCGTGGGCAGCTGCAGGGAGGCGTTTGCAGCGCTGCTGCTCCAGTTTAGCCTCCCTCAGGCCGGGGGAGCAAAGCCACAGGCACCTCCTGCTCATCACAGCGATGATCACAAAGCTCGGACCAGTCTGAGCTGGAAGAAGCTTCCAGCTCAACCTGCTGCCACCAAAATTGATGTCTCTCCTTGAAAAGAGGCTGGGAGCAGTGGGGAGCAGGTGGGGGACGAGGGCACCTTTCACTCAACACAAAGCTCTGAGCATTGTGAGCTGGAAGAAGTGTTGGGAAACAGGAAAGCCTTACAAATATGATTGTCTGGCAAAAGATTTTGAGAATATGGAAACTATAAGTGAGATTGAAATGAAAGCAAGCATTGAGATCCCTCAGTTACTGAACAACTGGAAAACAATGGTGTGGCTGGACTGAAGGTGATCCCCTTTTGATGGAACAACACCCTCTGCTTGCAGACAGGCCCAAGGGGCAGAGCAGACCCTGCCAGCTTGGCAGAAGGGGCCCAAAGAGGAGTTTTTAGGGTTTAAAATGTAACACAGGATGGTAATGTAATGATTCTTACAGGCTGTATGTAAATGCTGTAGGATTTGTATCTTGTACTGGATTGGTCAGTGAGAATTAGAATATTCAGCACAGAAGAAGATTTATGGTATTGTAATGGGAACCTCACTCTCTTACGCTTTTACTCTCTTACCCTTTTTACTCTCTTACCTTTTTTACTCCTTTACTCTCTTTCCCTCTCATCCTCTCTCCCCCTCTCTTCTCTCAGTCCTGCTCCAGCTGTGCCTGGCAGCTCCAGCAGGCCCCTGCACCCAGGCCCTTTGCAATAAACCCCAAATCCCAGCAGGCCCCTGCACCCAGGCCCTTTGCAATAATAAACCCCAAATCCCAAAAGGCCCCTGCACCCAGGCCCTTTGCAATAAACCCCAAATCCCAAAAGGTCCCTTCACCCACACCCTTTACAATAATAAACCCCAAATTCCAGCAGGGCCCTGCACCCAGGCCCTTTGCGATAAACCCCAAATCCCAGCAGGCCCCTGCACCCAGGCCCTTTGCAATAAACCCCAAACTCCAAAAGGCCCCTGCACCCAGGCCCTTTGCAATGAACCCCAAACTCCAAAAGGCCCCTGCACCCAGGCCCTTTGCAATAAACCCCAAATCCCAGCAGGCCCCTGCACCCAGGCCCTTTGTAATAAACCCCAAATCCCAGCAGGCCCCTGCACCCAGGCCCTTTGCAACAAACCCCAAACTCCAAAAGGCCCCTGCACCCAGGCCCTTTGCAATAAACCCCAAATCCCAGCAGGGCCCTGCACCCAGGCCCTTTGCAAAAACCCCAAATCCCAGAAGGGCCCTGCACCCAGGCCCTTTGCAAAAACCCCAAATCCCAGCAGGCCCCTGCACCCAGGCCCTGTGCAAAAACCCCAAATGCCGAAAGGCCCCTGCACTTGGCCCTTTGCAATAAACCCCAAATCCCAGCAGGGCCCTGCACCCAGGCCCTTTGCAATAAACCCCAAGTTCCACGGCCTGGCTGCAGAGATCTCTCATCTCCATCTCTCCTGACCATCCTACCCCCCAACACTCCTACAAAGAAGCTTCCAGCTCAACCTGCTGCCACCAAAATTGATGTCCCTCCTTGACAAGAGGCTGGGAGCAGTGGGGAGCAGGTGGGGGACGAGGGCACCCCGATGCCCATCTCTCCTGGAGGGGCTGCTTGCCGTGCTGAGTGTGCCATGGCCAGGCCAGGCTGGTGTTGGAGACAGTCACTGCTTGTCCTGTGCCTCCTTTGAGAGGAGCTTCCTCCACCCTTGGACATGGACCCTGCGGGAGGAAGAAGTTGTGGCAGCCCAGAACACAGCACCATTGTGTGCCTGTGCTTTGCTCCTGGCCCGAGGGGATGATGGGGAGGCCTCTCTGATGCCTTTTTGGATAAATCCAGAGGGACTTGAGTGGAGGGGCAGCCCCCTTGCACAACTTTCCAGAGCCTCAAGGGGTGGGAACACCATCCCTCCATCAGGGAGAGGGGAAATGAAATTAAATTAATTTAATTAACCATTGCCCTGCTGCCTGTGGGCACAGAGAGCCCCGGCCCAGCACAGGGGGGGCTTTGCCAGGCCAAGAGGCTCCTGGAGCTGGATGCAGACTGAATTCCCAAAGGGAACCTCACCCCTCCATCAGGGACAGGGAGAGGGGAATTAAATTAACCCTTGCCCTGCTGTCTGTGTGCTCAGAGAGCTCCTTCCCAGCACAGGGGGGGCTTTGCCAGCCCAAGAGGATTTTCCTGAATTCCCAAAGGGAACCTCATCCCTCCATCAGGGACAGGGAGAGGGGAATTAAATTGACCATTTCCCTGCTGTCTGTGGGCTCAGAGAGCTCCTTCCCAGCACTGGGAGGGCTTTGCCAGCCCAAGAGGCTGCTGGAGGCAAATGCAGAACTGTCCTTTTCCCTGAATTCCCAAAGGGAACATCATCCCTACATCAGTGAGGAGGAAGACCCCAAGGGAACATCATCCCTCCATCAGGGACAGGGAGAGGGGAATTAAATTGACCATTTCCCTGCTGTCTGTGGGCTCAGAGAGCTCCTTCCCAGCACTGGGAGGGCTTTGCCAGCCCAAGAGGCTGCTGGAGGCCAATACAGAACTGAAGTCGTTCTCCCTGAATTCTGAGTCGTTTTCCCTGAATTCCCAAAGCTGTGCCCTGCAGATAAAGGGATGTTTGTTACCCGGGCACACTGTGTTTTGCCGAGCAGAACAATAAAGAG